AATCTATTTCTATTCTTATTTAAGGGATGAATTTAAGTGTTTTACCTATCATCTATGACTCAAAAGCCTTTAATCACTCCAATAAGGGTGGCACTAAATGTTTGGTGTGCAACTCTACCACAAAATTATAAACTTTCTCATTACACATATTTATACTAGATCAAGTAGGCTTTCTAGATTAAGTACAAATTAAAGTTCTAAATAAAGTTGCATCATGTGAGTCTTAAAGTTTCTTACAAATTAAGTTAAAATTAATTATGAAACCACATGTGCTCAAGATTTCTTGAATATTAAGTTAAAATTAATTTTTTTTAAATATTTATTATTTTAAAACGAAAAAATAATTTTGCAAATAATACAATCCGATCTTTTTAATTGGGGATTATCTAACCTGTGCCGTAAGGCACAGGTTACTCAATTCCTTTTAATTGATAACTCATAATTATGATGGAATACACTTGTTTTTGTTTGTGGATGTCACTAGGAGAAGCAAAAAGGGATTTTTTGTGGAAATGGTGGTAATGATGAAGTGATTAGGGAAAATGATGGGCGAAAATTCAAGGAGAGTTAGGTGGATTCATGAACTTTTCTTTGAAAGGAGGACAAATTAATTTTTCTTTTAAAAAATTATTATTTTAATTTTTTTCGAGGTATTGTTAGTTTGTTACTATTATATTTTGAATTGTAGTGGAGGGGCCGGGTGCTATGGAGTTGGGTCTCTTGTCACCGTAGTCACCAGTTTTGTCTTGAATTTGATATTTGTTTACTGGTCTTACCTGAATTCTGGATGATTTCAGCAGTTTGTGTTTTGCAACCATCCAGCTATAATGCCAAAAGAGACTCTAAATATCAACTTCACTTCCCCATCAACCATTTGATACATTGTCATTAAACTTCATTAAAGTGATGTATTACAAAAGATGTTCAATTGTTCAAATTATATCAAATTGCATAATTTAAATTATTAAATATGAATAAATCTTTTAACATTAGAGATAATCTTTTTTTTTATAATTTTTTTAATTAATTTTAGTTTTTAATATGCATTTAATAATTAATATATATTTTTAATTTTTAATAATGATAAAATAATTGAAAAGATAAAGATAGGATGAGAAGAGAAAGAAAATGAAAAGTTAAAATAATTAATACATTTATTATATTTTAATGTCAAAATAATATTTTCTTATTTTTTAACAAAATTTCTTCTCCTCATAAAAAAAAAAGTTTCTTCTATAATTAAAACAAAAATGACAAAATTTAGTGCCTATTTAATTCTTGAGGATAGTATTTTATATAATATATAAAAATTATTCATTATTGGATATATAAATTTTCTTTATACATAGGGTAACATTTTTATTTTCCTTTTTTAATATAAGTTTTATTAATTGTTAATCTAATAATTAAATAAATTTTACCTCATACTTTTATTATTATTATTTTTCATCTTTCTCATTTATTTTTAATTCTTATTTAATTGAATTTTTAATCCTTAAAAATTGAGGTAAAAAAGCATCAAATATTATTTTAATAAAAAAAATTAAACCATAATTATTTTTAATATACAAGATTTATATAAAGTATTATAAAATAAGGAAAAATATTTAACAATTCTTTTTTTCTTTTTAACATAAGTCTTTACCAACTCTTTCTTCTATAATTGCTTGACTTGTAAAATTTTATTTTATAGTTTTTTTTTATCCCTTCTATCATTTCCAATTTCTTGTCATTTTTTTTTTCATTCCTATTTTATTCCTTAGTTTGTATTACAAACTATTTTGATATATTAATATAAGTACTCAAATAAAAATTATAAAAAGAAAGTGATTTGAACGAGATTTTAGTACAATTGAATACATATTCACAAATATATGTGGCAATAATATTAGATATATATACAATTTATAAGGAATGTGAAATAGAATTTATTTTTAAAATGACTAAAAAGTTGTTAATAGTGTAATATAAATAAAGTAAGAAACATAATCACTTTTTGAAAAAACAAAAATTTTTTTTTTTCATATGACTTGATCTTCATCAAATTCATATATTTCTTGTTCAACTTAGTGTATGAATCAACGCTTATCACTTTAATAAACTCCAATCCCTTAAGTAAAGTTCTTTCCTTAACCAAATAATAATAATAATAATTTACAAAAAAAAAAAGAATGCATAAATTTTAAATAGATAAAATTACAAAATTATTTCAAAAAAACATCATATATTTTATAAAAAATTCATAAAAAAGAACAATAAGACAAATACGAAAAATAGTTCATACAACAATATACATATTTTGGATAAAGAGGAAAAAAACACATAAAATAAAAATATTATATTATATTTAGTTATAATATGAAATAGGAAACAAAAAGAAAAATAATATTTAGAACTCTTCATGTTTGCAAAAAAAAAATTAAAGACATGAAGAGGAGAATATAATATATTAGTGCAAAGAAAAGTGAAGGTTTATAAATAGATGGGTAGGAAGATGAAAGGTATGAAGAAAGATTACTTAATATTTAATTCAATCTTTTATTTTTCCATTTTCAAGTATTTAAATGGTATTGCCTCTTCATCTCCCAATCCTAATCTTTTTTTATCCATTCTCGTGTCTTTTTCTACATTTAAGTATCTTAAAAGCCTTAATTTTCTATTTCCTAACCTTTTTATTCTTCATTTTTTAAGTTTTAATTACTACTACTTAACATGCTAAAAAAAAAAAGGGAATTGTTTTTGCTTTTTCTTTTCCCAGGGCTTAACCCATTTTTTTAATTTTTATAATTAATAATTAACATACTATTCATCTAAATTATTTTTTGTTACAATTGAAAAATTAATAAGTCTTAATTTGTTATTTGTATTATATAATTATTATATTATATAATAAATAATTTATATAATAAATAATAAATAAATTTATATTATATATTATTTTTTTATATATAAATGTATACCCTATTTAAATTTAATGTATAAGGTAGCATTATATATATAAATAGATAGATTAAGAACATAAAATTATAAATTAAAATTCTTGATTTTGAACTTTAAAGTAAAGAGAAAGTTATCCCATATTTCATAGACTATCATATTATGTAAAATATATGTTATAACTCTGCTTCTTTCTGCGCTCTTCTGTTATGTTCCAATAATATTTCACCATTCAAACATGGGATATAACCACCTTCTCCCATGTCAAAACCAAAGACTCGACAGAAACTTTCTCCTGCAACAAACCCAAATGATAAATCCAGTTAGGCATGGTATCGTTATCTCCACTTCAAAGCAATGAAATTCTTGTTTCAGAGAAAGCCTCCCGTCAACCACCGCAACTGAAAAATCAGAGAAAACAGGGGAGTATCGCTTTCCATCACTTGAGTGACTCCCAAGCCTCCTCCTCCCTCCTTTCTCTTCTTCCCCTTTCCAACGAATCCTCTTCTTTTTGAGAAGCCACAATGGGAAAACGACAATTGGGTCTCCTCTTTGTTTTCTCTCTCATTGTCTCCCTCGGCCTCGTCTCCTTCGTTTCCTGTATTTTTGCAGAAACAAAGAGAGTAAAGGTATTCCGATTTGCTTATCCACTGCATTAAGGCATTCATAGTTCATCATTTTCCTCTTTGTTTTGTGTACAAATTCTAAAAGGGTTTCTTGGGTTTGTGTTTTTTTTTGTAGACGCATGATCTCACGTTGGACGGGAAACTCTGTTTCTTACCGGAGAGTCATGCGGCGGTGTTCGGAGTTACAGCATTGATCTGTCTCTCTCTGGCTGAGTTAATTGGGAACTTACTTTTCTGCGTAAAGTGTTGCTGCTCCAGAGGAAAAGCAAAGGCTAATAACAAACTAATCATTCCGGTGACCCTTCTGCTCTTCTCTTGGTAGGTCTTGATTCATCTTCTAACACTTCCATTTTCAAATCAATGAATCAATTTTTTTTTTTTTTTTTTAATTTTAAGATGGATACCCAGAACTTTGGCCTGACTAATCCGCATATGGATGAATTGATTTCCTTAGTTGGATTTTTTTTTTTAAGAGTAATGAAACAGAAGTCGCCTCACATGTTAGTTCATGTAATATAGTAATAAATTAGAAAAGGGAGACCAAATAGTTGGAAAAACAGGAAAGGAACATGGGAACAGCTGGAAATGTTTAAACTGATCTCAGATTCAACGCCTAGGACAGTATAATAAGGTCTTAAGATAAGGTGACGGTGACATGGCCTTTTATGTTTATATTAATAAAATCGATGTCTCCAATATGATCTGAAGCACAGAATTAATGGATCGTTGATCTTGCAGGATCTGCTTCGGAATTGCAGTTATTTTGATAGGCATCGCGACAAGCATGAGCAGAGTGCAAAGGTATGGGGAAGGATGGGTGGA